AGACAAAACTCAATAGGAAATGGCAGCCTTAATGATCAGAAAGATGTCATTCCAAAACCTTCAATATATCTATGGTTTAACTTCAACTTAATTGTGTATTTTGAGTGCTCCATCGAGTATCCTACCAGAGATCCTGAAGGAAATCATAGAATGTTTTCCCTACTTTATTTCCTTGAATGAAGTTTCGTTAGTTCACTAGGACCCAGAAAGTCCCCACTGGGATGAAGAGATAAGTTTTGGGATGCACCTTAGTCAACTTTGTGTATTAATAATTGAATTTTGTCAGGAGCTTACATTAAAAAGTAATGATCTCAAGGCCATTCTGTCTTACAAGTAAGTGGCTGAGCAGGTGTTCTCCTGATGCAGAGAACGTGGAATGGAAGCTACAGAAATGAATGAAATTGTGTTGTAATCCAGAACTAGGAGCATGTGATGTGACCTCTTGCCACAAGGATAAGGCTGAGGGTGCCCTGAGTGTACATGGCCCCATTTAGGCATAACAAGACTCAATCCTTAAACTTACTGCAGGACGGAGGGTAATAATTTAAGGAAATATTCACTGAAGAAAAGTGTTAACTGCATGTTAAATCTCTGTTAAAAGTTCCCTTTGATATTTTCCGAGTGTTGTGTCTTAGTTAAGGTTTCTATTGCTGTGATAAAAAAAAAAAACATGACCAAAAGCAATTTGGGGGAGGAAAGGGTTTATTTCATCTTATAACTCTTAGGTTACACTCTGTCACCTAGGAAAAGCAGGGCAGGAACCAAAAGCAGGAACTAAAAGTAGAAATTCAATCAGAAGTCATGGAGAAATTGGCTTGTTTTCCATTAGCACACTTTTATTATACAAATCAGGACTCCCTACCCAGGGGTGGCACTGCCCCAGAGAGCTGTATTTTTCTACACGAGTCATTAAGCAAGAAAATGCCCTACAGACTTGCTTAAAGGCAAGCTGATGGAAGTAGTTTCTTAATTGAGGTTTTTCTTCCCAGATAACTCTAGCTTGTGTCAAGTTGATAAAACAACAACAACAAAAAAAAAACAGGATAATTGATTTCTTATCACCCCAACACACAAACACCCAAATACATCGCTATTAAACCATAGTACTTCCCTTCTTTTATTTATTTCCAAGATTTCATGTTAATATCAATATCACAATATAAAACATAAATAACTTTAAAAACTCCATGGCTTTAAAATTTTCGATACTTTTAAAAGTCCAAGTTCTATTTTAGAACACAATGTCTCTTTGAAAGTCCAAAGTCTCTCAACTGTGGGCTCCTATAAAAATCAAAACAAGTTAAATATTTTCTTACTCCAAGAGGGGAAAACCAGGGCACAGTTATATTCAAATCAAAGCAAAACCGAAGTCCAGGAGTGTGAAGCTCAGTGTCAGATGTCTGGGACTCGTGATCTTCTGGGCTCTAAGGGACTTGATCAATTCCAACTCTCTGGCTGTGCCATCCATAGCCCTCATAGTACATTTCACAGGCTCAGGCTGACTGTTATTCCACAGCTGCGGTTGTCCTTGATGGACATATCTATGGTACTGACATCACCAAACTGCTGGGGTCTTTGCTGGAACTGGACTGCACCTTCACCTATGTCCTCTCCTGGATTCTCACAGTGCCAAGCCTCAGCTCCATAACTCCTTCATGTCTTCAAAACCAATACCACCTGGAAGAGTCTTACACCTTATAAAATTTGGCTGCCAGTACGACGTATAGACTTGGCCATGGCTGGACCACAGCTTCTATGTGCTAACACTGATGAAACATTTCCCAGAAGATATTGCCTCAATGATGCTGGTCTATTCTTGTCCCAGCAGAGCAAGTTTCATTTTAATGGTTCTTGTCTCTCATTAAACATAGCGAACTCTTCAGTTTCTCCTGACCAGAACCACAGATTCTTTTTATTATTTATTTTATTGTATGTGAATGAGTTGTTTATGACTGTGTGTGCTTGTCTGGTGCCCTAGAAAATCAGAAGGGGCATCAGATCCCCTGGGACTGGAATTATAGATAGTTGTGAGCTGCCCTGTGGGTATTAGGAATCAAACTTAGGTCCCCTTCAGTAGCAACAAGTGCTCTTAACTACTGAGCCAATTCTATAGTTCCTAGATTCTTAATTCAAAATATGGAATAGTCCTGAAAGTGCCTTTAAGAGACTCTCAAGCTTCCATCTGAACCTCGAAAGCCAGGCTTGTGTCACCTGCATTGTTCTCATCAGCCTTTCTAGTCCAAAGTTCCAAAGTCCTTCCATGATCATTCCCCAAACATAGTCATGTCTGTCACAGCAATATCCCATGAACCTTGTACCAATTTCTATCTTAGTGTTTCCCTTACTATGATAAAAATACTATGACAAAAAGCAAGCTGGAGAAGAAAGGGTTTATTTGGTGTATATATCCTGGGCTATAGTCCATTGAGGGAAGCCAAGGCAACAATCTGGAGGCAGGAGCTGAATCAGAAGTCATGGAGGAAAGCTACTTAACTTTCTGGTGCTTGTCCAGATTGCTATATTATACAACTCAGGGCTCTCTGCACAGGGCTGGCACTGCCCCCAGAAGGCTGGGCCATCCCATGTGGAAAATATCCTACACGGTTGCCTACAGGCAATTCTGATGGAAGTATTTTCTCAGTTGAGGTTTCTCTTTCCAAATAACGCTAGCTTGTGTCAAGTTGACAAAAATCCAACCAAAACATATTGTACAGTTTGGTTTCTAGACTGACAAGTGTCCTCAGGCCATAGAAGCCATTGCCTGAGAGAAAAACTTAGTTTAGTGTTTTGAATGAGAATGTCCCCCATAGGCTCAGATGTTGAATACCTGGTCTTCAGTTGGTGACAGTTTGGGTAGGTTTGGAAGGCATGGCTGCTGGGGGTTGTCCTTCTGTATATATGTTTCTCTTATTGGTTAATGAGTAAAACACTGTTTGGCCAATGAGACAGGAAGATAGGTGGGTCTAGGAGACAAGGAGAATTCTGGGAAAGGTAGACAGAGTGGGCAGGCCACCCAGAGTCTTGATGCCGCTGAAGGAGTAACAACATGCCAAGGCATTACCTGGTAAGCCACAGCCTCATGGCAATACATAGATTGATAGAAATGGGTTAATAATTAAGACAGAGCTAGCCAATAAGAAGCCCAGGCCACCAGCCAAAACTTTTATAACTAATATAGTGTCTGTGTGTTCATTTGGGGCTGAAGGGCGGTGGGACCAGCCAGGACAAAGAATCTCTTGTAACACATGGTCTTGTTTGTGGAAGTATGTCACCTGGTTGGGGCGCCGGGGAGGGGGGGCTTTGAGGTTTTAAAACCTCAAACTATTATACCCTTTTCCCTTCCTCTGCTTCCTGAATGTGGTTGGAGATGTGAGCTCAGCTGCCCTTGCCACCATACTCCCCCACTGGGATGGTGATTCACTCTAGAATGGTAGCCATGGTGTTTTATCGAAGCAACAGAAAAGTAACTAAGATACTGAGAAACTACCCAAAGACTGGCAGAGATGAAAGTTGAATTGAGAGCCATTGTATTGTCTCCATTATTCCCGAGTCTGCTGAGGCTGTAAATAATACCACGGCCATGCCTGAAGGAGTGGAGGACTATTGGGGTGGTGGCAATTGCAACTTGGATCTCCCAATTTCTGGAGACCTTCGAGTGCTAATCAAGCAGGAACTATAAATCAAGTAGCTGCCCCTGAGGTTCCTCGGGCTGTTGTCAAGGCAACTGCAACTATTACTCAAAACTCTGTTGTAGCCACCGATGTCCAGAGACAACTTCATGTCAGCTGTGGATGCCCCAGAGAGATTTTGATTCAGTCAGGGAAACCACTGCAATTTATCACCGCCCAGCTGTGGTATTGCCTTCGGAAACTCTGCTTTAGCCAAACGCCTTGAGATGACTCTTAGATGACCCTACTCAGTTACTTCAGACCTCATGACAGTAGACAATGTCTTTACTGCAAGCTGGCCCTGTGCCGCCAATAAAGTTTACCCCAAGTGGTTTTAGATGCCTATTTGTAGTCTTTCATCATGGGTAGGGTAAGCTGAGTTAGTTGCATGAACTTATGAGTCCAGAGGTGCTAGCTCGAGGTACAGCACCCAGCAGAAGATAGAGGGCTTGTTGTAGAGCTGAAACTGTGAAGGGCTGCCAAAGTGTTGGGAAAGTATGATACGGAGAAGAACAGAAACAGCAACAGGTAAAACACTACAGAGTGCTGAGACTGGAAAACCTGCAACCTCTGGCTTCTGAGAAAGCGACCATGAGCTGTTAGGCTAAAGGCTAAAAGCCATGACACCATAAGGCTAACACAAAGCATCCGGGTGTGTTGACTGACCAGCTATGAAAGCCAATGCTGGTTTTCAGCACCCCAAGCTGGAGGCTACTGACACAAAGGTAGCTATTTTGCCTATTCGTGATTTCCATCCAAAATACTGCCTAAGACAGCCCGAATGCAGCCCACACCACAAGGCTGGCCACTCCACCCAATAAAGTGACCAGCATCCTTGCCTGTGACCACTCTGTATATGGACCCTCAGCCCTTGGCGTTCCAGTGTCCAAGATGCCCAGCCCTTCAGTACTGGTATTCCCAGGAAGATTCAAGACCAGGCCAGTGTCCTCACAGCCTCCTGTACTTGATAGGAACACGAGTTGTGGTCTATGCGGTGACCAGGGTTTCCAGCCAGTATTCTCCGCGGCCTGTGGGCACACACTGCTGGAGCTGGTCAAGGGGCGCTAGTGCCAGCCGGCACTGGATGCTGAAGTCTCTGGGACAAACCCATCTATTGCTGTCGGGCTACCCAGGAGTGGGCGGGCCTCCTAGGCTAGTCTCCGGTTGCTAGGTAACGGGTTGAGGCTTCCCTCTTCCCCAGTGCCTGAGCACCACCCTCCTCACGGCCCGGCCCGTTCTAGCGCCTGCGTACTACATTACTTCCATCCCTCTACTCTCAGTTACGTCAACTGCAAGCTTCACCTTGTCTGCCGAGGCACATAGCGGGCGGAAGTGCATATTGCGGAAACGGAAATGAGCATGCCAGAGACTGCGGATCTGGAATCTCGTTGACGCATCTGCAGCTACTGCCGCGCTCCTCTAGGTAGGCCGTGCTCGGGGATCGGCCCTCGACCTCGGCCATTCGGCCTCCCGACCCGGGACTCCTCCCAGCATCGAGTTCGCTATCCTCCGTGACCACGCCCTTCGCCCTGATTGCTCCTGCACCCCTCTGGTGCAGTCCCGGGAGGTGGGGCAAGGCAGCCACCCTCCTGCAGGTGGAGCTGGGTGGAGGCTCTTCCTGAGCCCAGCCGCAGGACGCTGAGCACCAGCGAGGTAAGAGGCTGGAGAAGGAGGGGCTGGTACCTGCAAACCCCCACGGTAAGGGGAGGTGTGGAACTTGAGATGATGGTGAAGCCAAGGGCCTGGGCCTCAGCTGGGTTGAATTCCTTCCTCTGGGGAGGGGAGTCATCCTTTGGGTTTAGGCTTTTTCTACATATGCTGTCAGACCTTCCCATCTTAGGGACTTGCTGTTACCCACGACCACGTTCTTCAAGCAGCCCCTCACCATTTCCCCCATCTCCCATCCATCAGTGGCTGTATCCTGACCTTGACTGACGTTGAGATAGTCCTGTCACCAGGCTCAGTATCTCAAAGACTTTCGTTATAGTTTGATGATAAACCCTTTGTGTGTATGTGTGTATGTGTGTCTCTGTGTGTGTGTGTGTGTGTGTGTGTGTGTGTGTGTACAGATACAGATGTTGCAATAGTAGTTTTAACATAAAACTTTAACATAAAATGTATAATATTTGTGACCACCCAACTTTTGATGTCTAAATTACTAATGACAACTTCGAATTCTACCAGGAGCCAGCATCTATTAGTAACCAGTAAACTCTTAAAATGATAGTCCCGTGAAAGAGCCTTTTTTTTAAGCCTAGAGTTTTTACAGTTTCTTCATAAGGATAACAGAGCTTGTAGCTTTTACCACACATCAGACCATTTGTTTTACAGGTTAGTATTTGTGGTTGTGAGTGCCCAACTCTGCCTGGCTGGTGAGTGCACTACAAGATGAGATCATCTCTCTGCCCTAGGTCTTTTGTGTTGCTTTTTGTTTATTAGGGATCTGTTGTTATTTTATCAAAGGACTTAGTGGTTTGATGCCATGTTAAACAACAAAAAAGATTTTTTTCTTACTATTGTCCTTGTGAAAGTCCTGCTCTAGAATTAATGCACGCTTAATAAAAGTGTTGTCTGTGTTTCCACTGAAAACTCTGCACTCCTAATCAGTATGTCGTTAGTGTGGTGACACACTAACATTCATCATGTGATGACTGTCACATGTCTAGAAATAACTCCATAGTTGCTAATTATAGATTTATTTCCTTTTTTTTTCAGATTCACAGAATCAATTATGGGGGTGAGAGGTTTACAGGGTTTTGTGGGAAGTACCTGCCCACAAATATGTACAGTAGTAAATATCCAAGAGCTAGCAGAGCACCACCGAACCAAGTACCCTGGGTGTACTCCTACCATTGTGGTGGATGCCATGTGCTGTCTCCGATACTGGTACACACCAGAATCTTGGGTCTGCGGTGGCCAGTGGCGAGAATACTTTGCTGCATTAAGAGATTTTGTAGCAGCCTTCACATCTGCTGGCATCAAGCTGATATTCTTCTTTGATGGCATGGTGGAGCCGGGTAAGAGAGATGAGTGGGTAAAACGAAGACTTAAAAACAACAGGGAGATATCCAAGATTTTCCACCATATCAAGTCAAAAAGAGATGAGCCAGGCAGAAACATGTTCTTCATTCCCTCCGGGCTGGCCATATTTACACGATTTGCCCTAAAGACTTTGGGCCAGGAAACTTTCTGTTCGTTACAGGAGGCAGACTATGAGGTAGCTTCTTATGGTCTCCAGCACAACTGCATTGGGATCCTTGGAGAAGACACAGATTACTTAATTTATGACACTTGTCCCTACTTGTCAATTGGTGACCTCTGCCTGGAGACCCTGGAAACCATCATGCTCTGTCGAGAGAAGCTCTGTGAGAGCCTAGGCCTCCATGTGGCAGACCTTCCTCTGCTAGCCTGTCTGCTGGGCAACGACATCACCCCAGAGGGCATGTTTGAAAGCTTTCGGTACAAGTGCTTGTCCTCGTATGCCTCCGTGAAAGAGAACGCTGGCAAAAAAGGAAATATTATCTTAGCTGTCTCAGACTATATCTCCAAAGTTCTTCACTTGCATCAAGGTGAGAAAAAGATAGAAGAGATGTTACCCTTGGGGCCAAACAAAGCTCTTTTTTACAAAGGAGTGGCCTCATATCTTTTGCCAGGGCAGATATCTCCGTGGCTAGTTCAAAAACCCAAAGTCATAATAACAGACAAGCAAGTGGCAAGTTTAAACCCTGAATCCAAGCAAGAAGTTCCTATGTGTATAGATCCAGAATCGAAGCCAGAAGTTCCCGTGTGTACTAATTCGGAGTCTGTGCAAGAAGTTCCCATGTGCACAGACCCTGAATCCAAACAAGAAATTCCCATGTGCACAGACCCTGAGTCCAAACAAGTTCCCATGTGCACAGTCCCTGAGTCCAAACAAGTTCCCATGTGCACAGTCCCTGAGTCCAAACAAGTTCCCATGTGCACAGTCCCTGAGTCCAAACAAGTTCCCATGTGCACAGTCCCTGAGTCCAAACAAGTCCCCATGTGCACAGATCCTGAATCCAAACAAGAAGTTTCCATATATGCATACCCAGAGGTCAAGCAAAAGTTACCTTCAGAAGCAGAGGCTCCACTTAATCTAGAAGCATTCATGTGTATGCACCCTGAAATTAAACAGGAAGACACCATGGATATAGAACCTGAGATAAAACAAGTAACCATGCTTCCAGACTCTGAAATCTTAAAGGTAAGTGGAAGTGCTTCCCCTACCTACAGTGTCATGTTTGAAAGTACACCCACTAATGGATTTGCTCATGAGAATTTATTGATTATCTGAAGGGGACTTCAGGGAGATCCAGACCGGGAACCTCTTGAGTCTGGTTAGGAAGATGTCACCATAGATAGAATGTTGTAAGTACATTTGATACTGTCTCATAAATAAACTGAGAAAGAGCTGTCAGAATGCCAAGGAGAGAATGTTGTGTACTGAGGTATAAAGTGCAGGCTTCAGGAGGACATTTACTTTAAGTAGGTCAGATGTGGGGTTGTGGGAACCCTACAGAAGTAATGATTAAAATAGTGTCATACTAATTGAGGCATAGTGGTAAACTATCTAGGGCTTGGGGAGAGGGAAACTTGGAAAAGATAGAGTGTAACCCACTATAAAAGTAGTTTAAATGCCAGGGGTCTGGGCCGATTCTAAGTCAACTGGAGAGTTCAGTATGTATTTATATGAGGCCCATGCTAGGCACAGAGTTTATCTTTTCTCAGTTGACTCTTAACATCAGCCCTATGAAATGCTTTTCTAGTCATCCCCAGCTCCACCATCTTGGCTTCACTCTTGCTAAGTATGTACCAACCCCAGTCCTGTTCTCTTGGGGTGCTAGTAAGGTGGGCATCCACAGGAATGCCCAAAGATCACAAGCTGAGAACCAACCCTGATTTTACCCATAAACTTTGAGTACTACATTGTGTTACCATCTTCAAGCAACAGATCTAGGTATTCGGTCTTACTTTCGAGACAGAGTCTCACTATGTAGCCCTGGCTGTCTTGGAACTAACTGTGTCGACCAGGCTGGCTTTGAACTTATAGAAATCCACCTGCCTGCCCCCCAGGTGCTAAGATTAGAGTCATGTGCCACCAGACCCTTTCATAGCCAGTCTTTCTGAGTCCTGTTATATCTATTAAATGAGTTTTCAATTTGTGTAGTACCCACTTCTTCCATCTTTGTCTATCTTTCTTCTTTTTCCCTAATGGCCACAACCACATACTCACACTTCTTCTCTATCAGTAGTCTAGAAATAAGATTGAACAGTGCATTATGTAGTTCTCATGGTACTGGTTAAGCCATAATAAATAAAGAGCAGGGCAAAAACAACACTTAAGGTGGTATTAACGTGACTGAATTAAGAATCATAAGTACATAACTTAACTGGAAACATGATACCATCAGTAGGGAATATTATATCTCAAAGTATACATGGTTGCCAAAATTATCAGCTTATTAGAGGAGTAGTTATATATAATTCATTATTATTTTATAGGCAAATTTGTAAAAATACAAACTCCTTTGAATTAAAGGCTAGGGATGGTGTCACATGCCTTTAATTCTAGGATCTCTGTGAGTTTGAGATCAGCCTAGTCTACATAGTAAATTCCAGCACAGCTGGACTATGTAGAGAGACCCTGTCTCAAAAACAAAAACAAATAAAAAAAAGTCAGAAGTGAAAGAGAGAATTGAAAATTGATTTGCCATAAAAAACTCCTTGAAATCCTTAGGTTGAACATCTGTATTGGAGTTTGCATTGGAAGGGCTTCTCATCTTCAAGGGAGGGGCATACCAATTGGTTGTACAGTGTCCAGCTGTCTCCCTGAAAACATACATATAAGGTTATACTTGGGAATGTATGTGTATATACAAATACATATATGCACACAATGGCAGTTAATGAAAAAAGAGGCCTTATAATTGAAGAAGAGTGGGAGGATATTTGGGAGGGTTTGGAGGGAGGGAAGGAAGCGAGAAACATTTTAATTAAATTAAAATCACAAGCAAACTAAAACCTGGAAGTAGGATTGCTTGGTTTAAAGAAATCTAGCAGTAAAGTAGGCATTATGTCAAGTGCCTAGTAAAAAGAGCAGGTAGTTGAATAGACCTGAGTAAATATTTGGTGTTTACTGATACTGTAAGCAGTCAGACTCGTTAAACACATTCTGTGTGTCTGCTTATTTGAACCAAAGTGATCAGTGGCTTTTTTTAAAATAAAACTTGTGTTATAGATAAACCAATGAATAGGTTGATTAAGGCTCAAGTCTCAACAATGAATCCATATAACTAGTTTTACTTAGATGCATATAAATTAAATCCAAAAAATTGATAGCTCAAGTCACTCTAACAAAACATTTTAAATGCCTTTTGATAAGCAGTTTGGATTTAAAATTTTGAATAATATTGTAGACATAACATAGACTTTATTCCCACAATAAAGAAATGTGTTCTTTATAGGGGAAAAAATCCCTACATGTAGGTCATTATAGATCTTTGGACTAAACTGCATATTTAATGAGAAAATAGAGTTTAAATCACATCTTATATCCTGCCATGTAATGTGCAGAGAACAAATGCATACGCTGGAACATGGCTTTTGTTAATTATTAAAGCCAGGTGCAATGAAACATTAGAAAAAGGGGAGAGAGAGAGAAAGGTTGAACAAACAAATCACTACAGCACAGCTTCTAACACCAAGGTGTTTGATAGAAGTAAGAGTTGAGTCCCATAAGCGAAGGGTGGTTCGTTCCAGTTGGAAATCGGGGATGGGTTTGTAAAGAAGGTAGGTCATGGTTGAGGTGAGGAAGTGGGGGGTTGGGAAGCTGCGGTAGGAAAGACAGGTGGGATTTCTGCTTCCAGAGCACAAGGTAGAAGAGAACCCTGAGGTGAGTATAGCAGTTTCTTTGAGAGAAAAATGGTATACAAAGAGATAAAGGAGATTTGAGACCAGTGGGACCAAGAATGTCATGGTGAAATGGTAAAATTTGGAGTCCTACACAGGGAGGCAGATTCATCTGCTTCTGAGGAGACAACATGGTGGTCGTATGAATGAGGAGTTGGTAAGGGGGAAAGCTATGCTGGGGCGAACTTAGGAGCCCTTCGTAACAACCCTACTCGAAAACAGGGAGTGTGTTTATTGGGAGGCCTCAAATAGACATAAGAAGAAGATATTGCACAATAAGTGTAAGATTGGTAGATTGGAGGCCACAGGAGAAGGGTAATGCAAATAAACTTTTGAACTTGTTAGTCCAAAAGAAAGAAAACATAAATACCCCTTGATGTCGCGTGTTTGAATGACAGTTCCTTATTTGAGTATGGTAGATAAACTGATAAGTGGTGTTGACTGTCTCTGTTTGATACCCAGAAGTCTGTGTGTTTTCAAGAAGAAATCTGTTTGTTGTTTTTGAATCCTCAAAGGTTGCCAGGATGCATCATGTCCACTCTGAGAGCTACCTAGTATACAACATTATGAGCAATGGAGAGATCGAGTGCAGCAACACCCTGGAGGATGAGCTGGACCAAGCCCTGCCCAGCCAAGCCTTCATCTACCGCCCAATCCGGCAGCGAGTGTACTCGCTTCTGCTTGGGGACTGGAAAGGTGAGAGCCAGCTGGTCTCCGATAAATGTAGGAGAGTGCATTCTCCATGGACAAGCAGACAACAGGTTTTGTTTGTCTGTAAAATGTGTGCTTGAGAGTGCTGCTGAATATTAATGCCTTACTAATTAGCAATTGATCAGAGTCATTAATGAGAATTGTACTGCCACTATGAAATATCGTATTTTTATGTCTTAAAAGCATTTGTGTTTTTGGAAAGCTGAAAACTCTGTTCTGCTGTAGTCATATATGGTGTTTTGGAGGATACTATTTTTATACCCCTCAAAATAAGATTTTAATAAAACAATTGTGTAAAATCTAATATTTTTAAAAAAGATAAACAGATGCCCTTTAGCATTTTTATAATGCTTATGTTTTTCCTAAAATGTTTTATATTGTGAACATAGCAAAGAGTAGTTGAGGACCATGGATGACCAGAGGAGTAAAATTTAGAGGATCTTAAACACCAGGATTTTCATGACTCACAAAAGGATGTCTATGTCTATTTGTCTGAACACCATTATTTCCAGGTAACAGTATTGTTGTTTTTTCTTTAAGAAAATAAACCCTGACATAGTTTAAAGGTAGGTTACAAGTATCATGTTGAAAAGTCAGTGTTCTTTTTGGAGTAGATGATGAGTATGGCAGTTTCTTTTTTCTTTCTTTGTTTTTGTTTTTGTTTTGAGAGAGGTTTTCTCTGTCTAGCCTTGGCTGTCCTGGAACTCCCTCTGTAGACCAGGCTGGCCTTGAACTCACAAAGATCCATCTGCCTCGATTAAAGGCATGTGTCACCACTGCCCAGCAAGTATGACAGTTTCTATGAGAGCAAAATGGTGTTCAAAGAAATAAAGAATATTTGAGACTTCTTAGTGGGACCAGGAATGTCATAGTAAATTTTGTGGAAGCCATTCAGATGTCTTACACAGTGAAGCAGATTCATGTGTTTCTAAGAAGACAACATGGTAGCCGTATGAATGAGGAGCTGTCAGGGGCAAGTGTGTTAGGCAAATTGGTACCACTTTGTGTACTGTCTTCACTCATAATGGATTTCAAACACTCTGTGATCAAAAGGTTACAATAGGAGGATGTTCAAGCTGATTTAAAACACAAATAAGAGAGCCTGTATAGCAAAGTCCAAGCTTTCAAACTTCACCAGTGTAGGTGGGGTTTTCCTGCCCAGACTGCCCACTCCCAAATAACCAGTGTTTTAATATTAATTATAAATGTTTGGTTAGTAGCTCAGGCTTATAACTAACGAGCACTTACAATTTAAATTAACCAATTTCTATTAATCTGTGTATTGCCCCGTGGCTCGTGGCTTTACCTGTCCTCCAGCATGTCTTGCTCTCTCTGTGTCTCCTGGAGACTCCTCTGACTCCGCCTTCTTCTTCCCAGAATTCTGTTTGGCCGTCCTGCCTGTACTTCCTGCCTGGCCACCGGCCAGTAAGTTCCTTATTACCCAATGATAATAATACATATTCACAACATTCAGAGGATTATTCCACAGCACACCAGTTCTGGGATGGCAAGTGTGTGCCCATAATATAAAAATATAAAACTAGAAGAACAAAGACTGTTGTAAAGGTTGGAGGAGGACTGGGGAGATGGCTCGGCGAGTCAGAGTGTGTATCCCAGAATCGGGAGGACCTAAGTCTGAGTCTGCAGAACTCATAGGAAAGCCAGGCATGCAGCACAAGTGTCTTGTTATTCTAGTGCTCCTGGTGGGAGATGGGAGGCCAAGACAGGAAAATCCCTGGAGCTCTTGGGCCAGCTAGCATATAGCTTTCACTACCCAGTTAAAAAAACAACAACAACAATGACAAAGACTTTGTGTCAAACAAAGTAGAAAGCAAAGGCCGACCCCCTAACCCTCACACACACTTAACATTGGTATTCAAACATAGCAGTGTGTAACCATATTCCCACACACCATCTTACACTAAAACACAACCAAGCTGGGCATGGTGGGACACACCTTTAGTCCCAGCATTTAGGAGGCAGAGGCAGGAAGGTCTCTGTGAGTTTGAAGCCTACATAGAGAGACCCTGTGCCAGAAAACAAGCAAACCCACAAAGGTAAGACCCTGTCCTCTTAACAAATAAGCCAGCAGGATTGTTATCAGATTGCAAGCATGTTAGTGATGAGGGAATTAGAATCAACTTGGCTGTCCCATTTACTCTATGCTCCTGCCCAATGCCAGACTCATCCCAGGTAGTTGAAATCAGTATCTCTTCTCCCTGCCTGTGAGAAGAGGCCAAACAGCACTTTATAGATGTGTACAAGTGGTCCACACAAGGGTATTTAGGCAAGAAGCCAGATATATAAACAGAACTACACACGTAGATAGTCCTAAGAAAAACAAGTACTGGTTAAACAAAAGATTTCTCAAAGAGTAAATGCATTTCTGGGAGAGGGGGTGGAGGGTAGGTGTCACCAAAGATCAGTGAACTGAGATGGACTCGATTAGGAACAGGCAGCCTTGATCTGTTCAGTACAAGAAGTTAGTTCCGAGTGGATCCTTGGTGTGAATGTCTGTTCCAGGGTAGTGTGTGAACACAACCTACCCTGCCTTCCCAACTTCCTTCCCTCTCTACTTTTCCACTGCCGTGAAAATGTTTAGTAGGAGCTGCTGCATTAGGAGAGCCCTTTTTTGGTCTTTAAAATTTTTTTTAATGTGCCGGGTGTTGGTGGCGCGTGCCTTTAATCCCAACACTCGAGAGATAGAGGCAGGCGGATCTCTGTGAGTTCAAGGCCACTCTGGTCTACTGAGCGAGTGCCAGGACAGGCTCCAAAGCAATACAGAGAAACCCTGTCTCAAAAAACAAACCAAAATTTTAATGTATCAGAGTGTTTTGTTTACATGTGTATCTTTGCACCATGTGTGTGCCCGATGTCTGTGGAGGTCAGAAGAGGGTGTCAGATCCCCTGAAAATGGAGTTATGGTTGTTTGAGAGTGGCAAGGTGAGTACTGGGAATTGAACCCAGGTCCTCTGTTAAAAAAAACAAGTGCTTTTAACCACCAGCCCACTCCTAGTCTTGAACTCAATATGTGAATTCATTTTCAAAACTTACAACAGACCTTTCAAAAACAAAAATTCTTCTGTCTGTTTGGTGAATAATTACTGTCACATTTAAGTTGGCTCAGGTTTCTCTATTTCTGTTGTTTTCTCCTTCTTAGCAAAGCAGTCACCGCTAGACTGGAGAAACGTAATAGCTGTTGGTGACATGATCACTTTCATCCTGGGGGGATAAAGAAACATTCATGAGGAAAATGGGCATTCAATGGCTTGCAGTCCTCCTGCATCTACTGACCCCGTTGTCTTTACTCAGATGGAACCAGCACCGGTCCGGTGGTCAAGGAGTGGTTTGTGTATCCTGGGAACTCCCTGAGGCACCCAGACCTTGTTAGGCCTCTGCAGATGACCCTTCAAGGTATGTACAGTATAGTTGGCATTTTCTTTGGGCCACCAACCAGATCCCAATTATGAAAGCTCAGCCTTAGCTTAGGTTTGTCCCACTAGATCTTATAAATTAATTTAACCTGTTTCTGTGTGTCTACATTTTACATCAGGGCTTTTTACCTTTCTTTCATTCTGTATATCTTGCTTTACTGCTTCCTCCATGTCTAGCTGGCTGGCTCCCTGTTTCTCTCTGCCCACCAACCTTGCCTATCCCTCCTCTGCCTAGCTATTGGCTGTTCAGCTTTTTATTAGACCAATCCAGTACCTTAGGCAGGCAAGGTAAAATAGCAACACATCTTTGCATAATTAAACAATTGCAGCATAAACAGATGTAACACACCTTTAAATAGTTAAACACATATTCTATTCCACAACAGTACAGCCTTAAGCTCTCTATCTTAGGGTGTCATCTCAAGAAAGAACACACTATATGAATGTCTGTTTGCAGAACTATGTGTTGTCTGATATTTGTTTCAATTCCTATCCCCTGCAAGACTCCAGAGATAAAGGGTTAGTAACTGATAGGCTATGTGGGGGCGGTGGGAGTGGGTGCCTTTTGGGGGTGTGTGGGTAGAGGTCAACATTGAGTATCTGCTTCAGTCCACTTTGATCCTATTTTTTTTTAAAGATTTATTTATTATGTATACAGTATTCTGCCTGCATGAATACCTGCAGGCCAGAAGAGGGCACCAGATCTCATTACAGATGATGTGAGCCACCATGTGGTTGCTGGGAATTGAACTCAGGACGTCTGGAAGAGCAGCCAGTGCTCTTAACCTCTGAGCCATCTCTCCAGCCCTTGATCCTATTTTTTAAAGACAGAACTTGGAACTCATTGATTTGGCTAGACTTACTGACCAGTGAGCTGTGATATTTCGTTTAGGATCTAACAAATAAAGCTTACCTGAAGATCCGAGTGCAAAGCTAGCCACAATAGTCAGCAATATAGGCCAGGCGGTGGCACACCCCTTTAACCCCAGCAAACACACTAGTTAACCATAGAAGCTGGGCAGTGGTGGCCCCCACTAGACACAAGTACCTGTCTAAGGCTTCCAGCCTCCAGAATCTTGAGGAATAGTTTTGCTGCTATAAACTGCACAACGTATGATATTTTGTTATAGCAGCTCAGGTGGTCAAAGGCACTGGTCTGCTGTATTCAGAGAGCTCAATGATAGATTCCCCAGTGTTCCCTGTGTTTATGTGCTTGCGTGTGGATGCACAATATTCCAGTCAGCGAAGCATTGTGAAAGATGGCTTTCTGTAACACAGAAGGGATTTAGCTTCGCTCCCCGGCTCAAGGAGTACATGTATTCCTCCACAAGCTGCCATGCTCTCCAGCCTCCTCCCCACCTCAGTTATGGTCTTATATCCTGAGGGGTGAGTCTGGAATAGCCGTGCCTGCCTTTAGAACTAGACACTCTATATATGAAAACAGGTTATTCCTTCTCAGTGTTGTTTTTGAGTCTTTATAAATAAATCTTTACCCCAGAAGCCCAGAGAAGCTGACTGAACACACTGACTTACTTGCTTGGTTCTCTTGAATAACTGTTAAGTGTTGTTCAACACCCAAGCACCTAAGTAAACAGTGTTTCTTGACGACATAAGGGCATCTGACTTAACCACGGGCTTACAGAGCACCACAGAAGATGCTCACAGAATGAAGAAGGTAAAGCCTTGCATTTCGCTCCTCCTGTCTCAGCTGTGCTGCACTTGATACTTGGTTGAACAGTAGGAAAGGAAGAAGAGCTTGGTGCATGTGTGCTCATTGCTGCCTGCTTGCAATTCCAGAAGCATTCTTCCAACAGCCCCCAGAACACACATGCCTGCCCCTTCTCCGTAAAAACCTCCTTAGGACACCTTCCTCAGTCCTCTTGTTCTTCTGTTTGACTTCAGTAGTCTTGTGGTAAAATCTTTACATTTCTTTTTACAGAGATGGTATTTAAACCAGGAACCTCTGCATGCCACATAGGGGTGATTGGAAACTTATGTGACAAGAAATGAAAAAAGTAACAGTTGACTTGTTTTGATTTTCTTCAGTAGTTGAGGATCAAGTATAGGCCCTCACAGATGTAAGATCAGCCCTCTCCCACAGAGTGCCCCTGGACAGATGCTTAAAATCTTCACCTCAGTATCTGAAGATATCTCTTAGAGTTGAGTTCCTGAACAAATGAAGGCCATGAGTGAATAATGTCACTACTTGTTTAGTCAAGGAGTCCTTCATTCGCCACGTCCAGTGTCTATGATTCTGGGTGTATTTCATGAAATCTCCAGGTTTTTTTTTTTAATATTAAACTTTTATGTATCCAGACATATCATTTTTATGAAGATATGGTCTTTACTGTCTTGAACAGCAAGGTGAAGTCTTCACTTTTCACTTTGGTGCTGTGGTGGGGTGGTCTTCATACTATTCTACCCCTGTGTTTTCAAATAATACAATGTCTGTGCAGCAAAGTGTAGGTTATTTTGCTTTTCTTACATTTTTTTATTTTTTAAAAATTTGCCACACCTGACTTTTATAGTTAAAAACAAAATCTCATCTAAATACTTTAACATTTGAAGTAACTATCGTGTTAGAAAATCATTATTTCCTTTATATCAGAGGTTAGCAAGCCTTTTGTTTCTAATGTCTCATAGTAAACGTGATAGGCTTTGTGGGCCCTGTGACTTTCTGTTGCTTGTAACCTATGTCATCAAACTGGAAGAGGTCACAGATAGCATGTGCACAAGTGAACACAGCAACTTCCCAGTGAAACCTGACAAACTTTGAATTAACATTGGGACTTTATATTTGCTTGTGCTAGGAAATAGTAGTTTTCTTTTTTATCTCCTTTCAACCATTTAAAACAATACAGTTCTTAGTTCAGACGCTGACAGGCAGTGGCCCACCATAAACATTACGAGTGTTCCCAACAGAATCTCAGATGCCCTTCATGACCTTGGAGTGTGATCTCTTAAGAACCAGTCTCTCAGGTGACAATCGCATCTTCTCTCTTTCTCACACAAAGAAAATGCTCTTCCTATAGCAAAACATGCTTGTGGTGAACGAAACACTCTCACCTCTCCAGGACTGCAAGAAACTTGCTGTGTTGTTTTGCTCCCAGTGGTGGGAAATTCACTCCTGGGAAGAGTGAATAACAGTGTTTGAAACAAAGGAAGAAAAAGAACTTCCTTTGAGTCGCTGGCTTCTGATACCATTTGGTCAGCTACTTTGTTTTCTTGGTGAACACGTGAGACATTCCACCGGAGTTGCTCTGGACTTTTGGCATAGGCTTTCAGTCAGTGCCCAGCAGAGAAACACAGCTGCCGGGAGAGGCCCTGTCACCATAGTTGTTAGACCAGCACCTTCATATTTGTGTAGAATTGCCACCCGTATTCATGGCAGTTTGTCCTCATCAAGTTAACAAGTAAGGACCCCCTCACCCCCAGCAATTGTCTCTATGTACCTGCAGAATATAGAAATAGAACACTAAAAACTGCCTTTCTTTCTTTCTTTTTTTTTTTTTTTTTTTTTTTTTTTTTTTGGTGGTTTGTGTCCATAGATCTCAGGCTGTAGGGTCTGGTGCATATGCCTCTTGGATCAGCAGGTTTGGATGTGCCAGAAAATGCATCACGAAGCCTTTGCAACTGATTCTTTTGTACATACAAGTTTGAAAACCACCAATCTGGAGGGGTTAGAGTCAACAGAAGGGGTAGGATGATGGCACTTCCTCAGAGCATGGCGTCCTGTTATTCAATCCTTGAATGGAAGGTTGTCCCTTCTGAAAAGCATCACTACCTGTAGGGTGTACAGCACAACTATAAGTGAAAGCCCCACTTTCCCTACAAACCTAGTTATTAAAGAGGATAGGTCGGTCAGTAAGTTGTCCCTGGCCCTGTAGGTTTGTTCTCTTTGAAAGCAGGAAGCTGTACCCACATTTGCCCTGTGGTTCTGTTCAGCCTTGATGCCCCCAAGTAAATCAGAGAGGGGAGAGATGAATCATTCTCCATTGTGCTCCCAAAAGTGTATTCTGACCATGCTATATGAATTTCTTTTTTCAAGGGGGAACACCTAGTTTGGAAGTTTTGTGGCTGAGCCAAGACCCAGCAGCGCAGGCCCGGCGCCTAGACTCATTGCTAGCCTGCTTCAACCTCTCCTCCTCAAAAGAAGAGCTGCAGGCAATTGAAAGCCCATTGAGGGCACTGTGCTGCCTCCTAATCTACCTCTTTGTCCAGGTAAACGCTGAGCTATGAATACACATAGCTGATAACAACTGCCGCACATTTCTGCCCTCTCCTTCCTGGAGTGCTGGTGTCTCCATGGGTCAGTTCCCCTGTCCTCTTTCCACGGAACACAATTAATTCTTCAAGATCCTCAGGGAGATGTTAAGTCGGGACTTTTCACAACAAAAAGTTAATGTATCAACAAGTCGGTGGTGGTGTGTATTTGTTCACAGGACTGACTGTACTCTCAGAGTACTGTGGTAAACCTAAAAGGATAAATTATAAAGTATCGTGGTTTTATGTCGTTGAGCTCAAATTAGCTTTTTAAAAATACCTTATTTTATTTTCTGCGTATGAGTGTTTTGTTCCACCCATTCCATGTATGCATGCCTGACCCTGGAGGTCAGAAGAGGGCATCATATTCCCTGGAAATATGGGTTATGAGCCACCATGTGGGTGCTGGGAACAGGATTCTAGTCCTTTGCAAGAACAGCAAATGCCCTCAATCACTGAGCCTGATTGCCTAAATTAGCCCTTTTGCTGTGCAGCATGGAGTAAAATTGCCTATCATTCATTATACGAAAACGGAAAGGAAACTAGTTTGATTTGGTCCAACCTACCAAACAAGGCTTAAGTCGGATTTGAGGAAATCTTGGAAATGCATTTATACTGGTTACTTTGGCTATTGCTACAATAAAATTCCTGGCCAAAGTGACTTAAGGAAAGAAGAGTTGTTTTGTCTCACAGTTTGAGGGGACAAGCTATCCTGACAGAGATCATGGTAGCAGGAACGCAGGGCAGTGGATCGTGTTCATGGGGCAGAATGATAAATGCTGGTACCCACTTTCCCTTTTCCATTCAGCCTGGGGTCTCCATCCACATTTGTGATTCTTCCCATTCAATTAACCTAGTCTAGAAACTCCCTTAGAGGCATGCCAGAGGCTTGTTTTCACAGTGAATTCTAAACCCTATCAAATTAGCAATCAGGCTTAGTTACCTGTGAGAAAAGACATATGAGAGTCAGGCTGTCCCCCAGGCGGGTCTTTTAAGAACAGCCTCCAAACAGAACTAATTGTGGGGAGAATTAAATGCTAGTGAACCCCAGTCTAAGCAGAGATAGCTGTTTACAGATGTTAAAATCTGCACTTGTGCTTGGCTTTGTCCGAAATCCTGCATTTGCAGGATTTTGCTTTCATTCGTATGATGGTGATGCCTCTTTTGGAATAAACATGGAAGAGGGTAGTGACAGGTCATCTTTCCCAGACTTCAGTGGCCTGTGTCTTCCCTTCAGTGGTAGCATGTGCCAGATCAAGTGCTGTACAGTATCTTTCCAAGAGAGTGTCAAGGTTAGGGTGGCATAAAGCCAGGGTTCTTTATGGCTTATGGGGGCCATTTTATCTGGAGGAGGCACACAAGCATTCCAGATGCTCTTGATTAAATTTCTCTGATGGATTTGTCATTCTTCTGTTTCTTTCCCCAAAGTTTTTGCCACCATAGTGTACTCCTTCCTTTCAAAAAGGGCTCTTGTGTAAGAGTAGAGTTACTCCATAAGTAGTAGTTTCTGCTTAATTACAAGTGTGGTTGTTGTGCTGGCTACTTTTATGTCCATTTGATATAAGTAGAGTCTTTGTGGAAGAGGGAGCCCTCTATTGAGAAGATGCCCCCACCAGACTGGCCTGTGGGCAAGCCTGAGGTTCCTTTTCTTGACTGATGCTCACTGTTGATGGCTCCATCCCTGGGTCGGTGGTCTTGGGTGCTTTACGAAAGCAGGGAGAACAAGCCATGTGAGCAGCTAGTGAGCAGTTTCCCTCACGGCTTCTGCTTCAGCTCCTGTCTTCCTTTGATGACGCGCTATGATTTGGAAGTTTAAGCAAAATGCCTCCCCTCCCCCTCATGCCTGTCCCATCCAAGTTGTTTCTGGTCATGCCCTAGAGCGCTAACTAAGACAATTTTATTAGATACTTTCCTCATTGCTATGGTCAAATACCCGACAGAAGCAACCTAGGTGAGAAAGGGTCTATTTTGTTACAATTTGAAGAGGTGCAGATCATTATGGTGGAAAAGGCACATTGCTTTCATGCTCAGGAAGCAAAGAAAAACAAATGCTGATGTTGAGCTCATTATCTGTCCAGACCCCCCTCCGCCCATGGGATGGTGCCACCCACATACAGCATGGGTCTTCTCTCCAGGTAAAGCCTTCCCAGAAACCCTCTCCTAGACACACCCAGGAGTGTGTTTCCATGGTGACACAAAGTCCAGTAGAGATGGCATTGACGATTTACTATCACAGTGGCTCAGCACAGACAGTATCGGCCTCAGGAGTGTGTGAGGTCAAGTGGGTGGAGGCACCATGTCTTTGGGGTCTCCTCATCACAAGACTTATTTTAAAAGCCAAGTTAATCCCACTCTGTCTGTTCCCCTCGTTTCTCTGTCTCCCTTTGTTTTTCTCCCATACTTTTTGATTCCAGAGAATGAGAGTGCCTCATACTTTGGGACCCTTATTTATGTTGCTGGGATCCAAGGACAGAGGTTACATCCTGGATGGTTGAAGATGGATGTTCCTCCAGTCCGGGCCACCCCACCTCAGCCTCTGAGCCATCTGTTTTTGACATTTTAAGCAGAAAGGATTGCTGCTATTTATTACCCTGTTAAGAGCTTTGTGGCCTGGGGTTATGGATGCAGAGTAGAGGCTGTGCTCTCTCCAGCTACACATGTCGTTTGTTCATCCATTGTGCATGTGCACCCCATTCATCCTGCGTGTGCACCCCTCTCTGTGTTTGTGTGTATATGTGTGTTGTGCATTTATAAAGAATGCTGTTCACTTTGAGTTCGCTCACACAGTATGTTTTCCTGTGTGTGTTCCCCCTCTGTATTTGTATGAATATGTGTGTTGTACATTTATGAAGAATGCTGTTCACTGTCAGCAGGCTCACACTGGCCCTTTTCTGTGCTTTGCAGGTGGACACTCTTTCCCTGGAAGATTTGCATGCATTTATTGCTCAGGCCTTGTGCCTCCAAGGAAAATCAACCTCACAGCTTATGAACCTACAGGTATAGTCATAGTCATTCATCACAGCCATGGAGGCAACCATGCTGTGATCACAGGGTCAGCATTCTTTGTAGCCTTTTCCCTGTTGCAGCTGGTACTTGATAAGAAGCACGAGGCAGACATGTTTGGTGAGGGTGTCTCCACAAGGAAACGGACAGTCGTCCTCCATCGACAACTGCTGCACTCAGGGGTCAGCTCGTCCCAGGTCCTGGCCCAGGTCATCTCAGTTTGAGGAAAAGCCTTTGTCAGACTCTTTGACATCAGAGAAATGGTGTCTTCTGTGGCCCAAGCTCACCTACCACATCCCTGTGTACACGGCAGGGTGGAGCCAGGCTGCCCTTCCTGTATCCTCATCCAGCCCATGTGCTTCGTGTTCACTTTGTAGTTCTGTTGTCTAGTCCTCTGTGAGGAAGGTGGAGCCCCAGAGGCCAGGTACAGCAGAGTGACTTCAGGGCCAACACGTAAAGCTACTTAGGTTGAGCATGCTGCAGTTCAGAATTGTTTTAAAACTGTACAAATGTATATATATTTATTAAAAATCCAAGACTGGTCTATATGTATAAAAATCTGTGTACATATTTCTACACTTACCTTCTCTTTGTAGCCATAAGTTCCCCAACTAACCATAAATTGAAAATAATTCCAGCTCTCAAATACCCACACAGAGACTTATTACTAATTAAAAATGCTCAGTCGACAGCTTAGACTTGTTACTAACTAGCTCTTACAGCTTAAAGTAACCCATATTTCTTACTTGTCCTCTGCCAGGTGGTGGCACCTTCTTTCAGCACAGAATGTTCGTCTTCCTTCTCTCTGTGTGTCCTCCCCTTCTTCTTCCCAGCATCCTCTTAGTCTGGTTCTCCTACCTAACCTTATCCTGCCTAGCTGTAGGCCAGTCAGCTTCTCTGTTAACCCAATCACAGTGACATATATTCACACAGTGTAAAGGAATATTCCACAATACAACATAACAACTATTTGGATACTATTTACATTACACTGGATATAATTAATTTAGAGGTGACTCGAAGTATATAGGAGCATGTCTGTAGGGCATGTGCAAATCCTGGAGCACTTTGTTTGGAAGTTCTAGCAGGGGACACATTTTGGGTGAGTTGCTCTCTAAGACTGGGTGTAGCTTCAGGAGGGAAAAAGGAGACACCTACCTAGCCAGCCAGCTCAATTGAATCAACCTGGTAATCAGTGGGGTGACAGATGCTGTGGCTAGATTGCCCTCACATTCCTAGATCATCTTGAAATTATTTTCTTGCTAGGATCTTTGTAATCAAAATAGTAGTCTCTTGATTTGAAGACTCTGATCATCTTTAAATTTTCTGTGAACTTCTGGGCAACACACACAGTGTGAACTTGTGTACTTTGATAACTTCCATTGTAAAGGTTCCAGGAGTGAGGTGGAAGCTCACTTCATCCTGCACTGCACATTTACAAGCTGTTGTTAGCTCTTAGACATTTGGGGATGGCCCAAGACCCAATCCCTTATGCCTCTCTTGTTTTCATCTTCATACTTTCTTTCTTTAACATGATCTTTTCTCCTGGTTCTGCCTTCTGGTTGGAAAACTCGGTGTCTCTCAACTTAGGAAAAAAATTTCTCCTATAGCAGAGATTCTAATCCATTAGTCTTTACCCTTGCTGAGCTGTCACCTGGCGAGTTCCATATTACTGGAGTTTTGACTCTGTCTCGTCCATTCTCTTTCCAGTGAGAATTCTCTAACACTGCACAGAATTGCTGAGACAAAGATGAACACATGGCTACATGCTATGTCCAGTGTATTCACAGAAATGGAGATGGATTCAGGCCATTAAAAAGTTCCTTCTGTGTATGTGTATATGGATAGACACACAGATACAGATGGTTCTAGGCTGTTCACAACCCTTCATGTGCTCTCTCTCTCTCTCTCTCTCTCTCTCTCTCTCTCTCTCTCTCTCTCTCTGTGCATGTATGTGTATGTGTGAGCACAAGCATATGTGTGTGCACATATATGCTTATGTAGGTGGAGTTTTCATGTCCTGACTGCCTGCTTCCAAGTAACTGACATAGAGGCTTAATATTACTCAGAAATGCTCGACCAATGGCTTAGGCTTATTACTAACTAGCTCTTACATTTTAAGTTAACCCATATTCCTTATTTATACTCTGCCACATGGTGGTAACCTTTATTAGCATGGCACATTCATCTCCTGCTCCCTCTGTATCTGTGTGGCAGCTCCTGACTCCCCCCTTCTTCCTCCCAGCATTCTCCTAGTCTGACTTTCCTGCCTAACTTAACCTGGCTGTTGACCAGTCAGCTTGTTTATTAAACCAATCACAGTGTCGAATCTTCACAGTGTACAAAGGCATTGTTCCACAGCATGTGTGTATGTGCGCTCGCGTGCGTGCACGTGTGTGTGTGTGTGTGTGTGTGTGTGTGTGTGTGTGTGTTCGTATGTGTGTGTATATGTGTGTGTGTTCGTGTCTGTGCGTGTGTGTGTGTGTGTGTGTGTGTGTGTACAGACTGAAAGGATTCCCACCATCCCTAGTACCGTCTTCGTGCTGCCTCTCACTTGGGAAACAGTAAGGCTCTGTGGCCCAGTCCAGCCAATAGGAGATTTCATTGGAGGAGGTTTCATTTTCTAAATGACTGTATAGAACCAGAACCATGCTGTCCTTTTCTCCTTAAATGTAGACATAATGTTGGAGCTGTAGTGACCTAAGTCCACAAGAAGAAGATTTTAACAGTTTTGAGGCAAGACAGGAAGAACTGTGGGTTTAGGATGATACTAACCCTAAGGTCACTAAACCCTGCTTTTCTGTCAGCTAAGCAGTAACTGTTGCAGATCCAGCCATTGTTGCTTGTAGCACCCACACAGCTAGTGTCCTCTCAGGCAGTTGCACTGGTATATCTGCAAGTCCAGGTTCTTGTGCCAGTGTCTCATTTCACAGCTATCCGTCAATGTTCAAGAGGAACGTGAAAGTCATGTCAGAGTTCCTTGAGTCCCTGCCTCCCAGCTGAACTTTGGATAAGTCTCAAGAGCATCTCAAGTGATGAGTTCAGAGAACCAACAACAGGTTCAGAGTCTCTGAGGGTAGACATGACGGACAGGAGAATGAGCAGCTGGATCCCTCCCATCTCTGTTTTTACCTTTAGCCGCCTCCTCTTTAACTTTACCCTTTCTGCTGGTTCCACCTTCTGGTTGGAAAACATGTCTCTTAGGAAAGAATTCCATCTGTCCTGACCTCATGTTGGAGTAGCTTTCTCTAGGCAAGTCCACACCAGAGAAAGGAAGTTACACACAGATGAAACCAGAGCCTTGCCTTTTGGAGACCCCAGGAATACCTGAGCATGAGCCTGCATTTTGAAGGTGTGTGCCTACAGCCTGAGTGTGGAAGAGCTCTGGGTCTTGGCCTCTGAGCATAGCCTTAGAACATCCACCCTAGAGGAACCTAGAAAAGCCTAGAGAAGGAAGGACAGGAATGCGTTGCCCGGTGAGAGCCCCGACTTCTGAAAGGAGTCCCTGCAAGGGGAAGGAGCCCCCACAGAATGAGATGGCTGAAAAAGAACAGAGTTGGTAGAAATTTAATGTGTTCATTTTTAGAACTATCTATCTCCAGGAGACCTCTCTGCTGCCCCCGGAAGCTTCAGTTGCCTCTCTTTTATGTAAATTCATCATCTATGACCTTTATATTGTGCTATACTTATTTGTGAGTCCTTTCCAGAATCCCTCAGGAAAAAACAAAAACAAACAGAAAAGAACTAGTTTTCTTGTTGATTATGGATTCTGCCTTAGAGAGAGGCAATTTGAGCAGATGGTGGTCAATGGCTTGGAGAATGTGAAGGAAACTTAGAAGCAGTTGATTCGAAGAGGATGCTAGTAGTATGTATCATTGAAAACCAGGATAGTGCCTGCTTATATCTCCAGCACCAAACACAGAAGACACGGAGCAGGAGCAGAGCATGCCACAGCCTAGGGAGGATGAAGTGTTTCAGAAAAGGCTGGCAAACATTTGTTGAGCAGAAGGCATGTCCTTCTTCACAGTTGATAGCGTCATAGCAGCTAGAAAGGTTGCTGATGGGAGGATATAGAACAGCAAGAGCCAAAAAAATGGAAGGCCTTTTTTTTTTTTTTTTTTTTTTTTTTTTTTTTGCTAGCGAGAACTAAAAGTGACCACAGCCAGGCTTGAGTACGGGGAGGGCTGAGAAAGGCTGGGCTACTCGATCTCTTCATTTCATTGATTCTCTGTGTTTTGGTGTTATTGTTGTTGCTTTGTTTCCATTTCATTGATTCATTTCAGTCCTGTTTTTTTTTTATTATTTCTTCCCATCTGCTCTTGTGGAGTTTTATTTCTTCTTGTTATCTGCTCTTGTGGAGTTTTATTTCTTCTTGTTACAGAGCTTTCAAGTGTGTCCAGTAACTGACACATGATCACTCATGTTTTTTGTTTTTGTTTGTTTGTTTGTTTTGATGTAGACACAGTTTTATGAACTTGCCTCTTGGAACTTCATTGAGTCCCATGGGTTTGGGTATGTTGTGTTTTCATTTTCATTCAATTCTAAAAAGGTTTTAACTTTCTTCTTGATTCTTGAATTTTGTCTTGACCCAACTCATGTTACTTGTGTCTTTGCTCTGGGATTTGCTCATCTGGGGTTAGAGTATAGGTTAAAATTTGTTGGTTATGTTCTTTTAATTCAGCTTCCCTCCCTTCTTTAAGTGGACATGTTTGCAGTGTTTCAAAAGACTAGGTTTTAATACAGTGACGATGTTGTCATCTGTTAGACTGTTGTTCCAGGCACCAGGCTCTGTCTACACTCTGCCCCCTGTGGGTTGAGTACCAGCTACAACTCCAGTAGTTAAACCACTCCAGTAATAGAGTTGCAGGTAACCACAAAACGGATTAATCTAGGGATTAATTTACAAAGTAAATGGACCCCAATAGTGCTATGTGTGAATGCAAAGAAGAGGAGGTCAACAGTCATGGTGAAACCAGCAGTGAGCACTGGCTTGT